TGCAGAATTATTTATCTGAACTCTTCCTGTGTTTCTTTGCGTAGTTCTTTGTATATTATGTGCTCTTAATTTACCTTTCTTTATAAAAATATTTTTTTTGAAAATTTTATGCAAAGATTCAGTATTAGTTATTTTCTGATTAGTATTTATGTTATGCTAGGGTGGGTAGCAGGGTATAAACATGGGAAGTCCACAGCTTTTCCTTGTAAGGCTTGTTACCCTAATACTCTCTCACCAAATATGTTATTTCCTTTGCCCTAAAGTTCATTTTCCATTAGTTTTAGCCATTAAAAAGATAAAGTGGTTCTTTATGTCAGGTTCTCAGTGTCATGATAATGAATCTAGTCTACAACTGCTGCTTCAGTCACTCTTCATTAAAGAATTAGATGTAGACGATATATATGGCATGGTAACAAGAATTCCTCAGTTCAGTCTGTCCCTGCCTGCCCTTCTATGTTATTAAAATGCTCAAAGAAACATTCCCTATCCTATAGTTTATACTTATACCTAGATTTCACTTATCTAATGATAGCATCAATAGAATCAGTGTATCTGCTGTTCAAAATTATGCTTTTGGAGAAATCTGTTTACTGATTGAGTCCTGAGAAGGCATATGATGGTTGCTTTCAGCATGTTTTCTTCCTTCATTTACAATTTGCAGATATGTTTCATAGTTTATGATTTGGAGCTCTGTTAACTCCCTTGCCCCAGTTATATAGTGAAGTTATAAAATTATACTCATTACTTAACATGTGTACAAGGAAATGCAGTTTTAAAAATTGTCTATCACGTGTAATCTTCCCCTTAAACCCTCTACCTTTAGCAAGAGGTGAAGGGGAAGAAAAAAAAAAACAGGATCTTGGGCTCTTTTAGTTTAAAGTGTTTTTCAGATACTATAGTGTTTGCAGGTTTCCTCGCCCTTCTCCAGTTTCCTCCAAGATGTGGAGTCTGGGTGAATGAAAAAGGGGCCTTTGAGAATGTGCTCAGACTCCCCTCATACCTCTGGAGGCGAACTCAGACTCGCACCGTCCTTACAAGGCTTCGCTGCAAGGATCCAGACCGGTGACCGTCGAGTAATGATTCTTCCTGATCGTCACGGAAGAGATTTCTACCACCCGTAGCTCTGGTCTCTACTTGCCTGCAGTCGTGGAGCCCCTGTGCTATGTGGTCTTTATCCGAACCCAGTCTTCCTCTAGTCTCACTGGGGCAGGTAGACATTTCTGGATTCCTCCCATGATGCACTCATGTCATCTGTCCAGACTTCCTCCTGTGCCGTTGCTCTGACACCACATCAAGAACGCCATGCCACCGGGCCCTGGGCCTTACTGAGCTTGCAGTCTCCTTGGACTGTTCCAGGTGTGGACTCCCAGCCCACATGTTTTTAGGGTACCTGGTACCTGTCAAAATGTTTTCACCTATCTCTCTCCCCTACATCCCCCTACCTGGTCACAAGGTCCACACAAAAAGGAAATAGGGACTCAACTCTGCATCTTCCCTCTGAATCTTTCCTTCCTATAATCCACACAGACTTGAAAGGGCCTTTTTTCATTTTCATGTTTCTACCTGGAACTTCCCTTTTGTCTTTTTCCCCAAGTTACTGTTCACATCCACTTGTTCAGTAGCAGAGGATGTAGGGAGAGAAATCAGTTTATCAGTAAGGGAAGTAAATCAAAAGTATTTAAAAAGTACTATTTTCAATTTTTGAAGAGGTAGAATTTTTTCCTGTGTTTTCATTTTTTTAAGTCAGATTTATTGAGATATAATTTACATAAAATTTGTTCTTTCTAATTGTACGGTCTGATTGAGTTTTGACAAATATATATGGTTGTATAATCACCACCAAATCAGGATTCAGAACATTTCCATCACCCCGAACACTTCCCCTCACGCCCCTTCCTAACCAAAGTCACCCTCGTGCCCTTGGCCCTGACAACCCCTGACCTGATTTCTGCCCTTTTCAGAATGTCATATAAATGGAACCACACAGTACCTACTCTTTTGTGTCAGCTTTCTTTCACTTAGCACAATACTTTTGAGATAATTGAGAAAAAAAAGGTAATTACTTTTCCATTGTAAATTGTATTTTCCCAATACCATATTTGTTTATCCCTTAATCAGTTCATTGGGCTTTTGGGTTTTTTTCTGGCTTGAGGCTGATGGAAACATTTTTCTGTATCTGGTCTGCTATCATAAACAAGCTTCTATGAACTTCATGAATAGGTCTTTGTATATACATATCTTTTCAGTTAACTGAAGTTTTCTAAAGTAGATCTATTATTTTTCAGTCCTACCAGAAATGTGCAAAAGCTCTGATTGTTCAATATCTTAGTCAACTCTTAGTATTATCATTCTTTTTCATTTTAGTCATTCTAGTGGGTGTATAGTGTTAGTTCATTATAGTTTCAATTTGCCTTTTCCTAATGACCAATCAATGATGTGCTTGTCATCCATTTCTCTTCTTTCATGAAGTGTCTGATAAATCTTTTCCCTATTAAGAAAAATCCAGTTTTTCATTATTGAGTTGTAAGAGTCAATCCTTTGTATATTTTGAATGTTAAGTCCTTTATCAGGTATGTGTTTTGCAAATATTTTCCCCCAACCTATGGTTTGACTTTTCTTTTCTTAACATTTTCTTTCAAACAGAAGTTTATAATGTTGGTAAAGTCCAATTCATCGTTTTTCTTGTAAGTTTTGTCATTTTTGTGTCCTAAGAAATTTTTGCCTGGACCAAGATCATAAAGATTTTCTCTCATGTTTTCTTCCAGAAGATTTTTTAGTTTTAGGTTTTACATTTAGTTTTCATTGTATGAGTTGATTTTTTTTAATGGAATTAAAATTCAGGGTTTACTTTTTTAAGATAGATGTTCAGTCGTTCCAGTACTATTTGTTGACAAACTATACTTTCCCTGCTTAATATTGTGGCATTTTTGTGTTTTTGAAAATCAACTACTTAACGTGTGGGTCCCTGAGCTCTCAGTTTTTTTCTCTTAATCAATGTATCTGTTTTTATACTAGTTTCTTGATTACTGTGGCTTTATGGGAAGTCTTAAAATCAAGTGGCATGAGTTCTTCAAATTTGCTAATTCTTTCCAATAATTTATCCACTATTCTATATAAAACCAGCTGATCAGTTTCTACCAAAAAAAAAAAATCCTGCCACAATATTGATTGGAATTACATTGAAAGTATAGATCATTTGGAATAGAATTTACATCTTAATAATATTAAAGCTCTTCTAAATCATGAACATGTTATATATCTCTGTTTTTTAGGTCTACTCTAATTTCTCACAAAAATACTACTTCTGATTTTTGAAAAAGTTAAATTTCCCCCACTTTTCATTTGTTATTTTTTTCAGATTTATTGAGATGATTCACATGCTATACAGTTTACTCATCTAAAATGCATTAATTCTCTGGCTTGTCAATAGTCTCAGAGCTGTGCAACCATCACCACAATCAATCCTAGAACATTTTCATCATGTCAGATCCGAAAGCCCATACCCCAGAGCTGTTGCCCCTCATCTTCCGGCTATGCCTACACTCCCACCTCAGGGCAAACACTAATCTGCCTTCCGTCTCTGGGATTCTGGACATTCCATGTAAATGGAAGTACAGTTGACCTTTGTTTAAGGATAATTAAAACCATTAGAGACAAGAGAAAGGAGAAAATTTTTAGGAGCTACCATGACAGAAATATTGGTTGAGTGAGACTTTCAAATGTTTACTTATTTTATCTTCACAACATCCTCTTGAATAGTTTGGAAACTGATATTCGGAGAGGTTTAACACTCCAATTTAGCAAAAACTTTAAGTTAGTAAAACAGCAATGTCAAGTGAGGCCAAGTCCATTTGATCCCAAAGCCATTGTTTTTTTCTTCCAAGTTACTAAATTGGGCTGTAGTACAGGGACACCACTGAATCCAGAAATACAAAGGAGTGAATAATATATGTCCTGGTGATATTTTGTTAGATAACCATTAACATGTCTTTGTTTCTGGCCTTTATGACCACCTTTTAGTGGAAATACATATGCATAAATATCTATTCAGACATACACATCTATGTGTATATGCACACATTTTTCTAAACAGCATAAGTCTGAGTGTTTTCTATTTTATAAGTGAGTATTTGTTAAGACAATAAAGTGGTAGTGAAGGAATTGTTAGAGATCATCTATCTTGGCTCTACTACATGTTTATTTTGGAACTTAATATCCCTTTGTTAGGTTGTTTACTGTAGACTTAATGTTATGTTTTTCTTACCTTTTATAATAAGGAGTTAGGGCATCAGTGGGTAAAAAGGAAGAAATAACTAATAGTACTTTACATTTTAAATTAGCTTTGTTTTTCCTCTCAGTTACTTTCATATTATTTTTTGCAAGTTACAGTTTTTCTCTTAAAAGTATTTGTTTTAAAAGGTTATGTTTTTTGGGAAGTTTATAAATGCTGACTTGATGAAATAAGTCATTTGTGATTGACCAAAATATGACAACTTTGCAAAGTTCAAATGGACTTTTAATATTCCACATCAAAGAATTTTGCCTAATTAAAGCTTCTGTTTAATGAAGATAACAATGCATAGTCCTTCATTAAAATTAACACAGAAAAAGTTCTTTCTTGGTCCTTGGAGAGGATATTATATGCAAGCCCTGATGTGTGGGTTGCAAAATGTCACTGGAATTTATATGCATTACTTGTCTAATTGCAGTAAATGTAGCATGTCCAGATAGGTTTAGAGTTGGAAGGCTGTTTGTTACTCACTGGAAATCACTTGAAACCTCAGTACCCAGAGGCAGCTGTGCCCAGGTCCTTCACCTCTCCCCAGAGATGGCTGCGAAGACTCTTGTTGGACCCTGTCTTTCATGGTGGGAGCAATAAACATGACAGGTTGTTTGGGAGCCATCTGTTTAAAATGGCTGCTGCTTTGTATGCAGCAATGAACTTGAGATCAGTTTTCGGTCTTTCTTCATGGTAACAGTCTTATTTGGTGTCACAACAGGTGGAAGTTGATGGGTCGAAACTAAATGTGACCAGCACGTGGAACCTGGCTTCACCCTTACTGTCTGTCGACATTGATGGCATTCAGAGGACGATACAGGTAAATGTTCTGATGATTTATGTAGAGGGCTCTGTCAAGTCCAGAATCCTTACTAGGACCAGTGTGGTTAATACTTACAGATAGGAGGGAAAAGCTGCATTTTATCTACATCACACATTTCATAGTTGAAAACATTTTTCCTTATTTTAAAGGATCTTGAGTTAGGTTTTATTCTGGGGAATCAATGTTTTCTTTTTTCAGGCAATACAGGAAAGGTACTGTATTATACTTTGTTGTAAATAAAACATCACGCATGCTCTTCTGAAAATACTGGATCATCAGCAGTTCTCTTTGCCATTTTGGATTTTTAGTTGTAAAATAAGGCTTACTTTGTTCCCTTTCTTTTCTGTGGAATTGACATTGTGTAGTATTAGATCAGCAGAAATGTGAACTGTTTGGGTTGACCATAGCACATTGTTGCCTTTTAAAAACTGAGTAACCTTAATTCATTAATCTTTCTTTTCCCTCCCAATATAAAATATCTTGCATTGAGGAAATGCCTAGAAGTTGGCAGTTAATTGGGTGTTCTTTCTCATCAGCGACCTCCATTTTAAAGTAGACAGCTCTGAAAAGAGATTCTGCCGAAATTCCTTCCACTCACTTCAGTGCTATTAAAACACCATGGAACATGTGACTATTATATCCAAATAAAAACCATAAACCCCCCCTTAGCATTAAATTTTTGTTCTTTTTTCTTGTTTTAAAAAAATGTTTTTGCATTCCCTTAACTTGATTTTACACAGGAAACTGATTTTTTTTCCATTTTTTAAATTAAGGTATTGATATATACTCTTAGGAAGGTTTCACATGAAAAAACAATGTGGTTACTACATTCACCCATATTTTCAAGTCCCCCTCATACCCCATTGCAGTCACTGCCCATCAGTGTAGTAAGATGCCACAGAGTCACTATTTGCCTTCTCTGTGCTACACTGTCTTCCCCATGATCCCCCCACACCATGTGTGCCAATCATAATACCCCTCAATCCTCTTCTCCCTCCCTCCCCAACCACCCCTGCCCTTTGGCAGTCCCTTCATGGAGTCTGTGAGTCTGCTGCTGTTTTGTTCCTTCAGTTTTGCTTCATTGTTATACTCCACAAATGAGGGAAATCATTTGGTAGCTGTCTTTCTCCACCTGGCTTGTTTCACTGAGCATAATATCCTCCAGCTCCATCCATGTTGTTGCAAATGATAGGACTGTTTCTTTCTTATGGCTGAATAGTATTCCATTGTGTATATGTACCACATCTTCTTTATCCATTCATCTACTGATGGACACTTAGGTTGCTTCCATATCTTGGCTATTGTAAAAAGTGCTGCAATAAACATATGGGTGCATATGTCTTTTTGAATCTGAGAGGTTGTTTTCTTTGGGTAAATTCCTAGAAGTGGGATTCCTGGGTCAAATGGTATTTCTATTTTTAGTTTTTTGAGGAACGTCCATATTGCTTTCCACAATGGTTGAACTAATTTACATTCCCACCAGCAGTGTAGGAGGGTTCCCTTTTCTCCACAACCTCACCAACATTTGTTGTTGTTTGTCTTTTGGGTGGTGGCGATACTTACTGGTGTGAGGTGATATCTCATTGTGGTTTTAATTTGCATTTCCCTGATGATTAGTGATGTGGAGCATCTTTTCATGTGCCTGTGGGCCATGTGAATTTCCTCTTTGGAGAATTGTCTGTTCATATCCTCTGCCCATATTATTAATTGGGTTATTTGCTTTTTGGGTATTGAGGCATGTGAGTTCTTTATATATTTTGGATGTTAACCCCTTGTCAGATGTATCGTTTACAAATATATTCTCCCACACTGTAGGAAGTCTTTTTGTTCTGTTGATGGTGTCCTTTGCTATACAGAAGCTTTTTGGTTTGATGTAGTCCCATGTGTTCATTTTTGCTTTTGTTTCCCTTGCTTGAGGAGATGCAGGAAACTGATTTTTAAAACCTAGAGAAATCCGGAGAATCACAGGTAAAGTCTTCTGTATGCTACATTCATGAATACCTTTATTAGAGACTGTGGGGCAGAAATCTCCAGTAAATATTTGATGACTAAATTAATTTTCAGGCCAGGCTCAATTGGTATATTACCTGGAATCATTAAACTCTTAGTAATGAGCTCCATATTTTGACTTTGGTTTTTTTGTCTTGTCCCAGTATATATATTTTTCTCTCATATTTCTTTTTCATATTCTAATTATGAGGTGAAACACTTGGAAAAAATATCATTTTGTAATTTTACATCTCTCAGATCCATTCACTATGGCTTCAAATTATGCTTTTGTTATATTTGGTGTTCAATAGCATACACTGTGTGCTGAATGTGCTGCGGCTCAGGCATGTGTGTGTCTTGGACCCGGTGGCGTAGTATGACTCGTCAGTAGTAAGTAGAGTAATACAAAGTCCTACACCCTAGAGCTTTGTATCATGAGATTTCAACTTCCTTCTCAATGGCTGTGCAGATCGGTGTCTTGACAGCTCTTTTACATTATAGTTGAATTAATCCTGGGTATGTATTTGGAATGAGCCTCAGAAATATTTTCCCTAGCATAGGTATAATATTCAGTAAATCCTTTTTTATTCTTTTAAGTTCTTTGATTAAAAAAACCCCAATGTGAAGCAGATGACCCCTCAAGACAGCACCCTGGACTCTTGGGAGGTCATTGCTCCCAGTTACATGCTTTCGCGGGAAGAAAGCAAACTCTTTCAGAGAGGCAAATGGTATACCAGGGAAAAAGTCATTCATTTACTGCAAAAAAGTGAGGGAAGCTTTTCCTTAACGGAACGGATATATTTTATTTACTTCTCTGGGCATTAGCATTCAGTGTTGATTTTTTATCTCCAAAATATAGTATGGTCCCCATGAAATTAATAACATGCGAATAAATAATCCATAGTGTTTACTATGTGTTAGGTGCAGTTCTGGGCACAGTACATGTACTAACTCATTTCATCTTCACAACCACACCAAGTAGTCCTATTATTTACACTTTTGTAAACAAGGCTGCTGAGGCTCAGAGAAAGTGGGTGGCTTGCTGAAGCCTTTGAAGCCTTGTGAATTCTATAGCATGGACTGTGCTTTATCCTTTGGCCAGTGAGACCCACGGAGGAGTTTTAACTTACGAAGTAATGGTATGGACAGAAATGGAGTTTAGAAACAGCTTGTTTTGGCTGCGTTGTGGGGAGAGGGTTGAAGCCTGGAGACAGAGAGAGAAGTTAGGAGGTGTTAGAGAAGTAGAGATGGGAAATAATTTGGCCTGGCAATTCTACTAACAATCAGAATGAAGAACGCTGTGTGCCGAAGGGGTTTGAAAGAAGGAGAGCAGAAGGACCTGGGGCATCGCAGCGCCCTTGGTTCCCCTTCCCCCCGCCCTTCAGCACCGTCAGGTTGTTTATTCCTCACCTCTTTCTCGCTGCGGACCCTTTGGGCTGCGCTGGCTAGGGCTTCCCACTCAGTGTCTCCAAGGAAATAGCTACTGAAAATTGTGTGATGTGTGTATGCATTTCTCTTAAACTTGTTTATGATAAATTCAGAGATGAATTCAGTGATGGATATTTCCAAAGGTATTTTTCAAGTGATTTTACAGTAATAACTGCTGGGGGGTTTTCCTGGATTTTTGTGCATTTATTTATACTTTTTATTATTAAATACGTACACAAAGCAATATATATTGATCTGTAAAAGCTAAAGAATAATAACAAAAATCCTGATTTTAAATTTATCACTTTCTTTCTTTTAGGGAATTTACATGTACAGCCAAACTGTAAACAATATATTGTTTAACTTCCCATGTTTCTGAAAAACCTGTAAATGGCACCATACTCTTTGCTTTTGTGTGTTGAATTTTCTTCCACTGCTGTGTTTGTAAGATTGGTTCATTTGGATGCATATAGCTTTATTTTTTTTTGTGCTATGTGTTCTTAAACCATCTTTGTAAACCACTATTCACTCTCTCCCCTGAGTAGACATTTGTGTTATTTTATTTTTAGAACAAACAGTGCTTCTATGAGCATTCTTCTACATGTTTCCTCTTGAAGTAAGAATTTCTCCAAGGAATATGCCAGTAGAATGGCTGAGTTGTAGAGACTATGCATCGTGAATCCTACATGGTAGTGCCAAATGGTTTTGCCCTATGTAGCTATGCCAGTTTTCATTACTACCAGTAGTGATTTATATATATTTTTTGCCTTTTTAAAAAATTGAAGTATACTTGATATGCAATATTCTCTTAGTTTCAAGTATACAAGACATTGGTTCAACAGTTAACCATATTATTAAATTCTGCCCCCACCAGAACAGCTACTATCTGTCATCATAGGAAGATGTTACAGAATCATTGACTCTGTTCTCCATGCTGCAATGCTATCACTGTGACCAACCTACATTATGATTGAGAATTTTTATGCCCCTTTATCCCCCTCAACCTCCCACCCACTCACCCACCACAACCCCTGCCCCATGGTAACCACCAGTCACTTCTCAGGGCCTAGGAGTCCACTGCTGTTTTCTTCCTTTTGTTTTGCTTTGTATTTATATTCCACAAATAAGTGAAATCATATGGTATTTGTCTTTCTTTGCCTGGCTTATTTCACCGTCTAGATCCATCCATGCTGTTGCAAATGGCAGGATTTCTTTTCTTTTATGGCTGAATAATACTCCAGTGTGTATATGTACCACATCTTTATCCATTCGTCTATTGATGGACACTTAGGTTGCTTCCATATCTTGGCTATTGTAAATAATGCAGCAATAAATATAGGGGTGCATATATTTTTTTGAACCAGGGTTTTTGTTTTCTTTGGGTAAATTCCTAGAAGTGGAATTACTGGGTTGAATGGTATTTCTATTTTTTTGTTTTTTAGGAACCTCCATACTGCTTTCCACAGTGGCTGTACCAGTTGACATTCCCACCAGCAGTGTAGGAGGGTTCCCATTTTTCCACATCTTCGCCAACACTCATTATCTCTTTCTTTTGGATAGTGGCCTTTCTGACTCATGTA